ACCAGGACAGTCGTTCTCCGCTGGCTGTGTGCGAGCTTGCGACGGCGTGAGACTGCCACTTGGCTTGCCCGTCGACCCGTGGGGTAAGGCAGTGGAGCACAGCAAGTCACCTCCGCTGCGCGAAAGCATATATACACTACAGTGCTACTGTGACGCTTGACTGTACGTGCGGCAGAGCTAGAGCTGGAGCAGCGCGTGCACCTGCAGTGCATGCGGATCTCGATCGCGATGCTGCAAGCTTTGCGCGTGGGGCAGCTCTTGCGCGCATGCAGGGATCGAGCTCGTGTGTGCCGGTGGCCGCGGGTGTGCGTGCATGCGTGCACTGTAGCAAATGCGGTGCGTGATGCATGCATGCAAGTCGCCCTCGGGCACTTGAGCGGCCGCGAGCACGTCTTCGCAACCCATTCACAATTTACCAGCGGGCCGGCTGACCACGCTCCTCTTTCACGTCCTCGCTTCTCATTTCACGAGGGTCGGTATAGATGTCTGCTTGCCTCTCTCCAATCAGCAGCCAGGCATTGAGGGTCAAGGTCTGAACGACATCAGCATCAGTAGTGCACCAGCGAAGTCCGCCGAGTGGGGGGCCCGGAGCACCTTTTGCAGATGAGGTCGGACGCGCCATGTGTGCAGCCAACGCAGGCTTGAGCGTGGGAGAACGCTGCAAGACGCGATGACCCATCTTCCCTAGCCATCGTTTGATTCTGACGTGACCCTGCACTTCCTACCTTTCACACAACGAACGTCTTGCAGGAGTTTAACAAAGCCCTCACAAGTAAACGTGAAGCCAGAGCTTGCAAGGTCACTCCTGCCTGTGTATTCGTGATTCTTGGCTCCCTGCGAGATCATGTCTGCCAAAGTCCGCACGTCGTCTTTGCTCTGGCGACGAGGCTTGGCTTTCACCTGCTTATCGAGCGCTGATCGAGCTGCAGACGATGATGACGCTGTCAACTGCTCGATCGCCGCCCTGGGCCACAGGCCCAGGCAAAGCAGTCACGCAAGTCTCGACTGACAACTCTATGCGGCGACATCTTTCCCCGCATATCGGACCTCGAATTTTGGGGCAACCTGTCCAATCCCGCACGCTTTGTCCTGCAGGACAAGGCTGTCGCTGGCTGCGATTCATGCCACCGCAAATATTCTCACCGGGCGAAGAGGGCTGACCACGTGGCTCGCCATGAGGGATTGCCGAGCTTCGGAAAGCGCAGATAAGGGTTATATCCATTGTTGTGATGCTGATGTGACAGTCACACTTTCACTAGGCCAGAAGGTCGACCCCACAACAGCTCTTCCGGGTGTCTCATGCAGGCATCGAGGCCATAGATATCCAACAAGGTCTTGCGAGCGGCGTGCAGGGCTGTCGATCCCTTCCGTACGTTTTGGACGAGGATGCGCCAGACATGCTCGCCCGATGTGAGCGTCTCCTCGAACAAGATACTTCGCTGACAGCAGGTTGTAGTGCAGCACTCTAACATACAAACAAGAGCTTGTCCGAAAGCCCAAGCTGGATGTTGCTTTCCAAAAGAGCACGGCAAGCACACTTGCTGAGGCATCGGTATCGCTATAAATACGGCACGGCAGACCGAGATCATCAAACGCTTTAGTCCGAGCTTGAGTATGATGACAATGACGCACCCGAAAATGAGGGTGGGTGATCGGCAGCTGAATGTGATTGCTTCTTCACGATGACTTCCCTTCTCACAGGGCATTTTGAGCGGATCTCGCTCCCCTCCACGGATTTTTTACTCACGTGAGTTCGAGATGCGTCTTGTGTTGCCGGCTAGCCTGTCCCACCCACCTCGATGGATGGCAATCTTCACGTGAGCTACTCAAACTCAGACTCTGCGGTACCCATCAGTGAACGCCGTCTATCTGTGGAGGAGAGGGATTGTGATGGCGCACACGATGTATGTCCAGGTACACATGCATTGACTTACAATCACGAATCAAATTGTGCATACATAGCTGAGAAGCTCTTCGAGACCAGCTGCAGTAGTATCTGCGCGCCGATCAGCCCGTTACGTTCTTCATCTGAGCGTGGGGGAGCAAGTCCCGGATCCAGCGGCGGTTCCGAGCCCATCTGATAGTTGTTATCGCTGCTGCTGGACCCCAAGACTTGAGCCGCATCCAGCAGCAGAGATGTATGTACACGTGCACCTGCCAAAGGAAGGCCCGCGATCATGGCTCTGCTCTCGAACCTCAAGTCGGATGCCAAATCACGACTTTGTGAATGAGGTCGAAAATGTCAAGCGTGCGCAGCAGGGAGGTGTTGTGTGTGCTGATGCAGCGTTCGTGATGCCGAAGGCGTCGTTCGGCCGGTCGCATCGCCGGAGATAAGCTGCTCAATCGTGGACCGCTTAATTGTGTATCGTGGCGTGCGCCTGCGTTCCTGAGCCGTGCAGTGTGCGTAGAGTGAGACGTGACACCGTAGACGCAGCGTTTCCCTGGGCGCATAAGCGTGCAGAGCCAGGGCGAGGTAAGCTCACCAAGCTGCAGAGTAAGCTGATTTCTTGCCAAAATCAGCCACCCCTAGCAGGGGCGCGCGTTCACTTATGAACTACGCTGCGCCCGATGAGATGGGTGGTCTTGCAACAGCTGCTATGCAAGCGGCAGGACGCTACGCAGCTAGGCGACGACAGGTCACGCGTGATTCTCTCTCACAG